TACTTGCAAGGAGTTGTACACACACAGTGAGAACCTCCACAAACACATTATCAGTTGGCTATGCTTTCTGTCATTGGGTTTCTGAGCTGGCTGCTTCCAGGCCAATGATCACAATACAAATCATTCTTGAGGCAAATCACCAGGAACCAAGCATGGTGATCATGGGTCTTTGTTTTCCAGTACAACAAACTAATTAATGTGACAGGTTTGGTATGATGTAATGGGACAATGTCAGGGATACTTTCAGTAACATTCCCTTTGCCCCATTCTTAAAATCACTTTAAATGTGTCTCCTGATAACTGTGCTTTAGAATGGAAAGGGTAGACAGACCAGTACTCAAAAAACATAGATTTTTTTGTTCCAGATTATGTTTATACTAGAATTCCTGTGCTGGGTTCCAGATTAAGTTTATATTACATATCCACACAATACCATCATATATGCTTAGTCTGTAGAATGCAACTAAAATCTATCAACAGATGTATGGCCAATTTAGTAAATGGAACATAGAGGAACTGCTGTAGAATTCTGAGAATTCTGGCCTTGCAGAGGTACAACAACTGTTTCAAAGAATCACAATAAGCATTTAATTGTGGACAGTGGGAGCCAAAGAACAGTGATGGCAAGATGATGTCAGTTAGTTTGAGAAAGAGATAAAGAAGGGCAAGAAAACTGAACATGAGGATAAATTGATTGACCTTAAAACCTATATGGTTTTGTGAACGTAAAAAGTAGAATAAGTGAAAAATATTGGGAAATGGGTCCTTTTGTGGTCGGTGTTGTTCTTTTGCTGAAAAGACCAGTAATGAAACACGAACCTCCAATCAACAAACCCATGTGGATTTTATTGGTAGAAGAAGGGTTAGGTGTTGACCAACCAGGAGCAGAGATGGGAGGGTGTGGGGTATGAGCTTAAAAGGGGAAGCTTGAGCATGTGCACTGAGTGACATAGTGATGATGATGACATGCCTATGCTACTGTGCATGATCTGCCCATCCTCTTGGGGGTGGGGTTAGCCTAATGCTGAAAGTTCCAACAGTCAGTGTCTAAGAGGCCACCATTGGGAAACGAATAGTCCTCTAGCTGTGATGGTGTTAGAAGAAATACTTTATAAAATAAAATCAAAGGCTTTATGTCGTTGGTAAAATGGTATGTAGGCTAGTACTCGTCAGTTATTCAAGAATATGTTTGTACTAAAAGTTTCAAAGATTTTTCAGCAGAGGAGATCTGTCCTAACTTGTAAACCCAATATGACCTTTGACGTCCTGAACACTTAGTCTCTCCTTAGTAGTTACCTTTAGGAGGTTTGACAACTCAAAATTGTGAATGTGTAAGAATAGTCATAAATACAAAATTGTGAATGTGTAAGAATAGTCATAAATGGAGCTGATCCAATTCTCTGAAGACCTTCAGAAGTGAAGGATACATCACCACAAATCTTATAAGAACAACAGTAGCTTGAAAATGAGGCATTAAAAAGTTTTAAATAAGTAAATTGTTTGGAATGGCATGAGAGAAACAAATTTTGCAATAATAATAGGAAAAGTTTCAATTATATTTCAAAATAATAACTCAAAGATGCTCTGAATATCGTCAGTGAACTCAATAGCCCCCATATCAATCCTTTTTTGTTGTTTAACACCCAGACAATTAGTTTGGGTTGATTGCCTCCAAATTAAGAGTAGGCTTTTATTGTGATAAACTAAATGGAACTACATTATGAGGTAAACGTGTTTAGTTCTTAAATCAGCATATAAAATGGATCTAAAATAACTGGACACAGCATTGCGAGGGGCTACATTACAATGGGAGGCAAATGACCTATGATGATACAAAATAATTTTGAAAAAAAATTTATTAAGGTTTTACAATGAGCCAGGCATTGGTGGCACACGCCTTTAATCCCAGCACTTGGGAGGCAGAGACAGGCTTATCTCTCTGAGTTTGAGGCCAGCCTGGTCTACAGAAAGAGTTCCAGGACAGCCTTCAAAACAGTACAGAGAAATCCTGTCTCAAAAAACAAACAAAAAAAGATTTTACAATGAAATGACTCTTTTTCCCATTGTCTGTGAATGTGAAAGCATTTATCAGCTAAACTGTTAGACAGCTCTAAGTTTTTCTAGGGTGAAAGTGACAACACAAAGTAGAAGACTGAGGAAAATTTGGCTTTTGGTGGCATAACAGTGTATTTGCATGCCAGGACTGCTTTAACAAAGTAGCATAGACTTAGTGGCTTAAACAAAAAATAACTTATTTTCTCAAAATTGTGAACTTCCTAAGACTGAATAAAAGGTTTGTCTTTTTTTTCAGGGCATTTCTCTTAGATTCTAAGCGTTGGTCTCCACTAATGTCTTCGGATGACCTAATCTGAGTATCCCTGTATTCTAATTTCTTATAAGAACTCCAATTATATAGGGTTATAACAGATATATTTGATTGAATTTGCCTTAATTACCTGTATAAAGACCCCATCCCCCAAAAATGTCACATTCTTAGGGGCTTTGTGCTGAAATTAAAATAAGACTTGATAGGGCAATAATTCAGACCTTAACAATGTGTACCTAGATTAATAACATGCTGCATTTGTCAAACACTTCAAACGAAAAAATCCGTTAATTGAAAAAAATCTTATTTTGTTTTACTGAAATGTAATAGAAAGCACCCTTATACAGCATCTAATATTATTTCCAGAATCAAAGGTTGTCTACCACAAAATATACATAAACAGAAAGGACAGGAAAATGAATCACCATAGCAGTGTATGATGAACTAACCCAATTTATTTATAAATTGAAATCACAATGACAATAATTTACAGGTAAAACTAGGTAGGTTTTTTTTCAAAAGCAGGTTTTCAGATATAATGTATACATACGCACTGTTTTAAAGAAACACAGAGCAGCTGGGTGGTAGTGGCAAATGACTTTAATCCCACCACTGGGGAGGCAGAAGCAGGCAGATCTCTATGAGTTAAGGCCAGTCTTGTCTACAGAAGTGAGTTTCAGAACAGCCCAGTTTACACAGAGAAACCCTGTCTAGAAAAAGAAAGGCAATTTGAAACATGTTAACAGGTGTGTTTGTCAATATGCTATACAAAGAACTATGCCTGTGCCTAATGTAACTGAACCGAGCTACAAGTTGGGATTATGTGACTCTGGATATCCTCATCATCATAGGGAAAATCATTATTAGTGTACATTAATTAATGTCTATTTATAAATATGCACAGAGTGTATACACAAAATTATCTATTCCAGAAACGTATCTATGACCAAACTTTGTGAACTTTGTGTTTATGTGTGAAATGGACAGTGTAAGCAAGGGGCACAGTAAAGAGACTACTGAGGTGGCTGTTCCAGGGTAAGGATGGAAGGTTTTTATTGTAGGTAAGAGAAAAAGAACATCCAGGGGCATCTGGAAGAATCCAGAATAATGAGAAAATAAAAAAGACTGCACATTGCCAAGGTCTAATGCAGGGCATGGAAAAGTTATGTGGGTTACAAAAGATAATGAGTAGCTGTGGGTAGGGAAGCCCATGATCTGAAGCAGCCTGGGAGTTTAGGAGAGGGGAGCAAGTGAGAAGGGCCAGGATCTAGACCTGGACTTTAAGGTGTTTAACAAATATGTGTGAAAAGGTACAAAAGCTGCCTGAGGGCCAGCAAGGGCTTTGATATGCAATCAGAAGAATATGTCAGTAGCTAGTCATTTGACCCTCAGGCAGAGACAATGGAAATGACTCCTTTGGGCTAACAAACCAGTTTCACTGGTTCCTGAGGAATGCTGACTTTTATCTAACCACCAGAAATTCTATTATATTTCAGTTTGAGCTAACCTTAGAAGCAATTTTGGAACAAGTCAGTGGTCCTGCCTTTTAGGGAGGAGAAGTAGTATACACTTTGGACCTTAGGACCTTACTATATGACAAAGCAATTAAAGAATTTCAGAAACAAAAGTACCTGAAGCAACAGTATGAGAAAGCCCAGAGAAGAGAATGAAACAGGGCTCACAGTAATGAACACAGGGAAAGAAGAGAAATGCAAGAGGTGCTCCAGACCAAAACAAAAGCAAACAAAAAACAACCACCAACAACAGCAGCAAAAAAAGAGCCCTGCAAAATCAAGCACAAATGAGAAAAGACTCAAATAAACACTCAGAATAAGAGAGGTGCACAGTTGGTTAACTCCCAGGTGCCAGTGCAGCTGCCTCCACCAGAGGACAGCAGAAGGACCCACCAGCCCACCAGCGGCAGGACACCACCAGTGATCCCATAGCCTGCCCTGATATCATTCAGGACAGTCTTGGTGGGCAGACAAGCGGGCAGGCTGGTGGTTCCTTTCTCTGGGCTCTGGCGAGCCCTGCCTAGTATGGGCACTCTCGCCTTGGACTTTTAAGGGAGGCGGTTGTCTGATCCCCGCGTGCAGAGTCCCGGAACCCCACTACAGGATGCCCTGCGAGACCAGGTCCTAGGTGGGCACCAGGCAGGAGCTGTGTGGGAAGGGACCGGCCTAAGGGACAAACAGAGTAGCACTGGGCACATGGAGCACACAGGGAGGAGGACCTGGGCAGCTATAGGGGCCAGGCGTAGATTCGGAAAATAGCACAGAGGAGCCAGGATGTGAGTACCTGAAAGCAGCCAGGGTCCCCAGGTGGGGATGCTCAGGGCACTGAGGTGAAAAGGCAAGGTGAAGAGAGGAGAGGCTCTTTGCCACATTTCTCCTCCTCCAAAGAGGTTAATGCCTGGGGCCATGGGCTCAGGCAGCTGAGCCTAAGAGTGGCCAGTTCTGGTGAAGCTGAATTCCTAATCCTGCTGGTTATCTGCCACCCAGCTGGGGCCCAGGGAAGCTAGAGCAGCAGAGAACAACAGCATGTGTATAGCCAGGTTTGTCCTCAGGCTTCTTGGGGGCAGTTAGGGACCAACACAGGTGCTTAGGCTTCCCACTAGGAGAAGTTGGCCATTTGGCCCCTTAGCTAATGGTCTCCTCCTTTTTCCCCTCCTCAGCCATGGACCCAGGACCCAGCAACCTGAATTCCTGGAACCAAGGGATCGAAGGGCAACCCAACATGCGTACTGAAGGACACCATGACTCTAACACCAACGAGGTTGCAGAACCCATCGCAACAAACGCTGCCCAACATAGCATCGTGGGCTGCAGAATTTCCCACCAGTGGAAAGAAGACTGGCGCGTCACCTACTGGAAGGGAGTCGTTGTAGATCAGATAGCTATAAACCCCTCCCTATATCTGGTCAAATATGATAATGTCGATTGCGTGTATGGATTGGAACTTTATAAAGATGAGAGGATATTGTCCCTTGAAGTTCACCCCGAAAATGTAGACACATCCCAAGTCTCCGATCCCATCCTTGCTGATACCATCATTGGCAAATCAGTGGATCACAGGTTTGAGGGAGAACAAGGGATTTCCAAATTATGGAGAGGGCTGGTTCTAGATCAGGTGTCGGTCATGAAATCCTGGTTTTATATTACTTATGAAAAAGACCCAATCTTATACATGTACCAACTTGGCGATGATTTTAAAGAAGGTGACCTCCGCATTGTGCCACATGTAGAAGTACCTCCACTTAACTTAGATCTTGAAATTAGAGGCAAATATGTGGTGTATGGCCAGAAAGATGGAACCACCAAAATTGGCATGATAATCCACAAAGTTGATTCAAGACCCTCTGTATATTTTATAAAATTTGAAAATGATTTCCATATCTATGTTTATGATTTGGTGGAGAAAATCTGATTGATTGGCAAAGCAATGACTCCACTGTGAAATAAAGTTGTACTTCCTAGATACACAGAGACTGCTGCTTCTGAGTGTGCTGGCAGCTCACCGTGGGCTTAACGGTTGGATGTCCTGTCAAATACACATTTCTGTGGGTATGGGGTGCTGTCTGTGAGCAGTTTCCCTTGTGGAAAATGCTGGGAGTGTGTGGGGACACCAGACCTTGAGCAGAAACCCACTTCCCCTTCGGCCTGGGAGCAGACATCTATGTAATGTTTACTGAAAACAATTCAGTGCTTTAGGGCTCAGATAGGGCTTGCTCACTGAAATACCATGCCTTTCACACCCCTTACGGCTAGATGCCTCTTCCTGTTTCCCTGTGGTGTCTCCCCGATTCTGGGGCCGGAGATTAGACCACCAGCCAGGAGGAAAGAATGGTATGTAGATGAATGGCAGAAGTCCTTAAAAAGGGAAGCTCCTTTTTCTTAGAGACACTTCTCCTGAGAGCTCTCCTAAGCGGACTGGGGTCTCCTCCTAAGCTGACTTGGGAAGCATAAAGTTTTCTTAAAGCAACCGACCGGTCTCTGTGTCATCTATCCCGACCACCTCGCTACATTCTCGGATGCAGGCCGCACAGCAGGTGCGACAATTGGAGGTCCCACCGAGATCATGAAAGCGAGGTAAGTGAGCGGGTTCGTCTCTTTTTCTGGCCAGGGAAAGATTGGGGAAAAAAAGAAAAGAAACCTTGGGGAATAGTTCTGGGAAGCTCGAATTACAGTATCAAGTTAAAAAGTTACTTAAAGGACATGGGACTACAGTAAAGTCTAAAACCTTGGAAGGCTTTTTAAAATGGATTGAACGTGGGAGTCCATGGTTCATTACTGGGGGAGACTTAAATGTCCCAGATTGGAAGGATGTTCACTATGATCTTTAGAGTCGGGTGTTGGTGGCATATGCCTTTAATCCCAACACTCGAGAGACAAAGGTAGGTAGGATGGAGGCCATCCTTGTATATAGAGCGAGTTCCAGGACAGCCTCCAAAAGGATAGAGAGAAACTCAGTTTAAAAAAAAAAGGAGGGTAAAATAAGAAATAAAATAAAAAATCTCCAGTCTTTCACCTGATCCACTGAGGTCAGGAAAGTAAAGAAAAACTGAGAGATTTAAAAGACTGGCCAACAAGTAAGGCTATAAGTAAGGATGTATTAAAAAGGGGTACCAAGCTAGGGGTACCAAATTAAATGTCTAGGCCTTTGCCTAACAAAGGTCAAAAAAGAAAAGCGAAACCTAAGAAGTTGCCCTCAGTTGGAGGGTGGATTGGAAAATCATCCTCAATGGGAGGATGGATTAAAGATAGATAAATTTAAAAAATTGGTGAAGTTAATAAATAAGGCCAGTCTTTCACCTGATCCACTAAGGTCAGGAAAGTAAAGGAAAACTCAGAGATCTAAAAGGATAGCCAACAAGTAAGGCTATAAGTATGTATTAAAAAGGGGGTACCAAGCTAGGGGTACCAGATTAAATGTTTAGGACCTTGCCTGACAAAGGTCAGGAAAGAAAGGGAACCTAAGAGATCACCCTCAGTTGAAGGGTGGATTGGATTAAATGTTTAGGCCCTTGCCTGACAAAGGTCAAAAAAAAAGGGAACCTAAGAGATCACCCTCAGTTAAAGGGTGGATTGGATTAAATGTCTAGGCCCTCACCTAACAAAGGTCAGGAAAAAAGGGAACCTAAGATAAGAAGTTGCCCTCAGTTGGAGGGTGGATTGGAGGATCATCCTCAATGGGAGGATAGATTAAAGATGGGTAAATTAAAAAAATTGGTAAAGTTAATAAATGAGATGTTAGTATTCAGTAAAGAAAAAGACAAAGGTATATAAAATAAAAATGTTTGGTTACATTTATATGGGGTAGGTTATTGATACAAATTTAAGGTCAATTTTGTGAGTCATCTCTAAAAACTTTTGGCAAAAGCCTGGCCTTTCCACTTTGCATCTACAGAATTACAAGGAGTGGGTATGGCTGTAGCCCCTGAGTGTAGCTCAAAACTTCTCTAATGAAGAAATGACGAGGGACATACAGGACTTTTTCAACCTTTTGTTTTAATTCAAAGATTGACTGGAGTTGTTCTGTTAAAGAAGTTTCAGTTCAACAAACTAATCATAACCTAGGCAAGGAGAGATATGTATGCATGGTCTGTGTGTATGGACGTGGCCACGTCAGTATGTATGAAGTGTGAAATGTAAATGCGTGAATGTTGACAAAAGCAACTGTTCTAATTGCCTTGGATATGATTAAAGGGATACTTAAATCCCTTCAAACAGTTAAAAACTACCTAAATCGATTTAGATATAGCCAAAAGAAACATCCAGTCAGTCGGTTAATATTTTAACAAAAAAATTCAAGTTAAGCCCTCAGAGCCAGTCAGAGAGAGAGAGAGAGAGAGAGAGAGAGAGAGAGAGAGAGAGAGAGAGAGAGGTTTTTTCAGGGAACTGTCCTGCCGCTTTGGCAGGCCCCCACCCCCAAAGGTGTCTGTGTAGATGCAAATTAGGCCTTGTCAGCTCAGATGCAAATGAGGCCTTGTCAGCTAGTGAGAGCTACAGGTTAGAAAAAAAAGGACTATTTGGGACATAGTATAGTTTACAATCCTTAAATGATTCTCAAAGGTACTTAATGGTTATGTCCCTTTTAAAGGACATCTACTAATACTTTAAATAGTGATCCCAATTCACCTAGATAGTTGACTAAGGAGGGTAGACAAATCCTTCTACTGTTATGGTCCAACTTCAACAGTTCAAACAAAATTTAAAAATAAAAGGGAGTAATGTCCCCAGTCTCCACATGATTCATTAAATAATCCACTCCTCATTTAAATATTTATAAAATATAAATGCCAGTGAGGAATCTGCTTCAGACAGATTCTGACATAATGAAAGTTAAATAACTATTACTCAGGCCAAATGGAAACATCCATACACTAGACAGTAGAGAAGACCCTAATTTGGGGTCGAGGGCATGTTTGTGTTTTCTTACAGGAAAAGAATAAAGCTTCAGTAGCGGTCACAACATCTGGTGAGATGCATGGAGCAGAGAAAACTGGACCTGAGACCGTGGGAGCCTGCTCAAGCCAGTTCGAGATCTCCTAAATCAGTGTTCCTGACCCTTGATGTCATCAAATCTACAGCCCGAGAAAGAAATAAAACAGTCAGTTCGAGATTTCCAGTTTCTCATCAGGCTTGCTACATCAACCTCCTGGACCCGTGAGTTTTCATCCCAAAGCCAACAAAACTGGAAGATTAGCAGCTAGCCTTTGATACACCTTAAAACAACAGAATTCATTTTGCCAGCTTTTCCCTTTGGGGGAAAAAGGACCCATTTAAAACATTTAGACATTGGTATGGACTGTGATGAGTGGCAAAAGCCTTTTTTCAGTATTTGAACAGGACATGGTCACTTGAAATATCAGACTCGGTAGTTCCTGTTTCTGGAATCACAGTGTGTTTTTCTGGAGAAATGTGGTTTGTCCTGGTGCGACAAAAAGACTTTGACTCGGGTTGCATGTTCGGCTGATACTACTGACATTAAATCGACAGACTACATCACCACAGGAACAAATTGGTACTCTGTAAATAGTGCAACAAGCCTCTTGTTCATATTTTTTATAATGCTACATGTGTAACATCAATGATTGTACCTAATGTATCTGTGCAAGTGCACTCTCTAATGCTTTCCTAAGTAGATCTTAAAATGATTGTAAACTTTATCACTGTTTTGACCTTCAAATTGTAACTATAAATCACCCTTGTAGCAAAGAAAGGCTGGTGGTAGAATGCTAAGGCCCAGATCGGGGGATGGGCAGGTGACAGAGAGGCGCTATGTCAGTGGGGGTCCTAGGAATGGTAACAGTGGCAGTAGGCATTCTGGCTTCATGCTGAGTTCAAAGTGCCTTAGCCCATGGCAATCCCGATAGCCATAAAGCCTTATTACAAATGATTTTAAGGGTGGGGCTACTTCAAAGACGGGCAACCTGTGGGGAAGACCCACTCCCACCTAACAGGGGTTCAAGGTCCCCCAAAGACGGGCCAGGGAGGGTGACCCTACTTGACCTAAGACAGGAGTGCCTCATTTAAAAATAAAAAGGGGTGAATTGTGGGGACACCAGACCTTGAGCAGAAACCCACTTCCCCTTCGGCCTGGGAGCAGGCATCTATGTAATGTTTACTGAAAACAATTCAGTGCTTTAAGCTTGATAGGGCTCAGATAAGGGCTTGCTCACTGAAATACCATGCCTTTCACACCCCCTACGGCTAGATGCCTCTTCCTGTTTCCCTGTGGTGTCTCCCCGATTCTGGGGCCGGAGATTAGACCACCAGCCAGGAGGAAAGAATGGTATGTAGATGAATGGCAGAAGTCCTTAAAAAGGGAAGCTCCTTTTTCTTAGAGAGACTTCTCCTGAGACTTCTCCTGAGAGCTCTCCTAAGCGGACTGGGGTCTCCTCCTAAGCTGACTTGGGAAGCATAAAGTTTTCTTAAAGCAACCGACCGGTCTCTGTGTCATCTATCCCGACCACCTCGCTACATTCTCGGATGCAGGCCGCACAGCAGGTGCGAACAGGAGTGTTCGGTGGGTGAGGCAGGGAAAGATGGAACAGCTGTCAATTCAGCCTGTGAGAGAAGTGAGCTCTTATCATAACCAGCCATCTAAACATGGAATGGGACTTAGCTGGTCTGGTCTTGGGGGGAGGAGGAGAAGGAACTAGAGATGGGCTGTGGAGGAGGGCACAGGAGGAGGGGACTGCCTAGGGAGAGGTGGAAGGGATCCACAATGAGACAGAGGCCAGAATGAGGGGAGGGACAGAGTGAAGGAAGAAGAAACATGGGTTGGGAAGGGAGGAGCTGACAAACAGAGTGAACTTTCTGGCACCTTCTGGCTCCAGAAAGCAGAAGGACTTGCTAGAAGAATACACAGAGCAGTGTAAAAGAGGTACACAGTAAGGGGACTCAAGGTCTGCTTGGCAAGTAGGACCCTGAGGAGAGACAGGCTCTGGGACTAGAGAGGCCAGGAGCATCCATGC